AGTGTTCTTTCATCGAGCTGTACAACGAAGAGCTCCGCGACCTGCTTTCGGCCGAAGAGAACCCCAGACTGAAGATCTTCGAAAATGAGTCAAGGAAAGGCCACAGTGGAAGTACGCTTGTACAGGGAATGGAGGAAACATTCATCGACTCTGCGTCCACCGGCATCAAACTTCTCCAGGAAGGTAGCCACAAGCGTCAAGTTGCCGCCACCAAATGCAACGATCTGAGTTCCCGGAGTCACACGGTGTTCACCATTACCGTGATGACGAAACGGACAACGGAGTCTGGCGAAGAGTATATTAGCTCTGGAAAGTTAAACTTGGTCGATCTGGCTGGTAGCGAGAACATCCAGCGCAGTGGGGCGGAGAACAAGCGTGCGGCAGAAGCTGGTCTTATCAACAAGAGTCTGCTCACTTTGGGCCGGGTCATCAATGCCCTGGTCGACAAAAGCCCCCACATCCCCTATAGAGAGTCGAAACTCACTCGTCTCTTGCAAGACTCACTTGGTGGAAGGACCAAGACATGTATTATTGCGACCATCTCGCCGTCACGCAGCAACCTGGAAGAGACGATTTCCACATTGGACTATGCATTTCGGGCCAAGAACATTCGCAACAAACCCCAGATCAACTCCACCATGCCGAAAAAGACCCTCCTGCGAGAATTCACAACTGAGATCGAAAAGCTAAAGGGCGAGCTTATTGCCACGAGACACCGGAACGGCGTGTACATGAGTGTTGATGCATACGAAGAGATGACCATGGAGAGCGAGTCTCGCAGGATTGTTAACGAGGAACAACGCGCGAAGATTGAGTCTATGGAGTCCAGCCTGCGCCACAAGGTCCAGGAGCTTTTTTCTCTTACGAGCAATTTCAACGACCTCAAGAAGAACAATGAAGAGACACGGAATGCACTGAAGAAAACGAACGATGTCCTCGAACAAACTGAGATTGTCCTTAAGGATACCAAATCGCAACTTGAAGAGGAAGAAATTCTCCGCAAGGCGCACGAGGATACAGAGGCTCACCTTCGCGACATTGGGGCTGGTCTGCTTTCCACCTTGGATACCACTGTGGCGGACATCAATGGACTTCACGCGAAAATCGAAAGAAAGACCAATCTGGACTCCGCCAACAAGGAAGCCTGGCAGGTGTCTGCGGCCGAGGTTTCGGACGTGACCCAGGTGGTCGATTCCAGACTCGAGGATTTCCAGATGCAGCACTCCGAGCTGGTGGAGGCCATGTCGAATAAGATCAACGAGTTCGTCACGACTGAGATTGAGAACATCGAGTTGAACAAATCGCAGCTGCTAGAGACCAACGACCTTTTTGACAAAGCCGAGCGGGAGGCCCATTCACAGACATGCGCTGCCCATGACGAGATGAACGAAGTACTTGAAGAGATTAAGGACCTGCGTGAAGAGGTCAAGGGTAAAGTTGGTGATGGCCTCAATGGTCTGTCTGCCGCTGCTGCTCGCATTTCCAAGGAGGTGATCGGCGAATTCGCGGATTTCAATGCCCAGCTTCATTCATCTTACAGCACCCTTGGAAAGGACCTCAAATCTGTATTTGAGGAAATGGTGGCTCAATTGAACGGGCAAAGGATGGAGATCAACAAGCTGAGATTGGAACTTCAGGAAGCCAATCAGAAAGCCGTCGAGGCGAATCGCAAAGTCTCATCGCATTTGGCACAGACTCTAGAAGAGGAGAATGCAAATGCAGAGGCTGAGCGTGATCTCCTGCTTTCTCAAGTGAAGTCTCTCATCGAAGACTCCCGCCAAAGGCAGTGTAGCCGTCTCAAGGGCAGGATCGACACGATGCGTACAGAGCTCTCTGCTTCGGGTGACTCCTTGGAGCATGCGACCGCCCATTATGATCGCCAGGTTGATGAATGGGTTTTCAAGTCGGAGCAATTTGCTAAGGATGTGATTGCCACTAAGGACGAGATGAAATCGAAGATGCAGAGTGACTGGGAGGTAAGTTTTGACTCGCGTCATTCCTCTCCAAAAATATCAATACTAATCACCTTGCAGAGTTTCGAACAACGCAACGCATCTATTCACAGAACAACTGAGGCGGTGCATGAAGAAACCGTTCGAATCGTTGATGCTCAGATGAAGAATATGAGTAAACAGATGGAAGCTTTGGATGATTTCGTAGCCAAGGCACGCTCTCAGAATGGTGTTTACCGAGACGCCCATCTTTCAAGCCTCCAGAACATGTCCTCCAACGTGCACGAGTCATATGACTCAGTCCACACGCAATTGTCGGACTTGGGCAGTCGTCTTCAGGAGCTGCAGGAAGGGGCCATCCAGCAGCAGACAAATCTACACGAGTCTGCCATGCCGTTGTCAGACGATGTGAGGAAGTCGCTCTTGGAGCTTCGCGAACACATTCAACGCCGAGCATTCGCGGAGTACGTTGCGACTGGCATCACCCCCAAGAAGCGTCACTATGAGTATCCTGCCGACCTGCCTCGGACTGAGGCACATGAGAACATCAAATCAAGGTTGAGGACCTCTAGGGAGTTTACGGCTCTTCCATTCAGTGGCGAAGACCGAATTTCGGTGCTTGATAGCTCCCCTGCCACCACACCGGCGAAAGGATTCGTTTTTCACGACGCCGAGGACGAGGTAGGATCTCTACCACCTAAGACCACTGTCACACCTTCCAACAGCGGCCTTAGGGAAGTCGATGCAAACGTCGCTGCTAAGGGCCTCGTAGCTAGTGCGGCCGATGACAAGGCCACGCGCAAGTCCTCTATCGTGACGGCTGATGCGGACTGTGATGGTGCAGAGCAGCCGCCTCCCAAGAGACGTTGTTCAAGCACCACGACCGCTGACGCCAAAATACCTCAGAAATTACTCAACCGGAAGATGGCTGGAATCATGGAGGGCCCAGAGAATGTACCACCGGTGGAAACCCCGAGTGGCAGAAGACTTCGAAATCGGCCTTCTCCTTGATCTTATCACGTTTTGTTTTTTTCGCTGTGCGGAAGCACACTGCTCGCTTGTACGTTGCGGCAGGCATTTTGAGATACCCCTGGTCTTGGCTAAGATAAATCTGGAGACGGTATTCACATGTTTTTGTTTTGCATTTGTCTGTTCGCGTTTGGAGCATTGTTACTTGCGGGCTCTGCGATGCCTGGCGTTTTGTTCTCGTATAGGGTTCCCGCGGGATGAGAAGATACCCGGGTTTGACGTGATAGAATTCTATAGTCATGGACTTCGAAGTTGCATGATTCCAAATTCGTAGTGTTAAACCCGAGTAGATGGGTTGAGGCCTACCTACAGCTGAGCAGTGACGCCATACGCTAAAATGCCTCTCGCCGAGCCGGTATGTTTTCCAACCCAAAAGGTATCTTAGTACCAGGATGTTCCATCGGCCAGACCCCTATAGTCCCATCTCTGGCCCAGCGGTAGCGTCCTCAACCAAACCCTGGCCATTCTCATGCTGTCCCTGCTCCACGCCATGTTCATCCATCTTCCCACCCGGGGAAGACTCCACCTCCGCATCCTCGATGTGCTCCCCCAGCCCGCCCGCCTCAATCACCAACCGCAGCTCCGCCAACCGCTTCGCGAACTGATCCATCATCTCCTCCAACCGCTGACAGCCCCGCTCCTTAACCCTCTCCTTGCCCAGCAGGTTATTGATCGGCAACCCCGCGGTGCCCCGGATCTTCAACATCAGTGCCCCGTTCGCCGAATGTCCCTGCCCCTGCGACGGCGTATTATTCGTATTATTCTCGAACGTCGGCGCCGGCCCCAGCTGCGTATCGAGCACCTGCCACGCCGGCGACAGACTATGCGCCGAAGTCACCACCATCGACTTAGCGTCACCACCCCCTGAGGCACCGTGATGCGGCTCCTGCGGCGGCGGCGGCGGCGGCGGCGGCGACGTCGCCAGCATCTCCCCACCAGCAGTAGCAGCAGTAGTATTCCCGGATTGCTCTTTCATCTCCTCCGTCCCCAAACCACCGGGTGACGCATAGTCCACGTCGAGGATCACGTAGTGCTCGCGCACCCCTGGGATGGAATCCGGTAGTAGGGAGGGTCCTTTCTCCTCATCTTCGTAGGTGTTTTGTGCCCCTTCTTCTTGTTGTGGCTGCTGCGGCGGTCGACGCGATCGGGTCTTGTGGTTATTGTGGCCCTTTCGGGTATTGGGATTGTAGGCGAGGGTCGGATCGGATTCGCTCTCCAGCGCGCGGAGGGTGGCTTCGGTGACGATGTCGGTGTCGTCATCGGCGAAGATGTAGTGGACGGTTGGGTGGTGGTATTCGGAGGTGTTGGCGTCTTCGATGAGGGTGAAGAAGGGTTGGAAGGCGGACGTTGATGTTGGTGGGAGTGTGGGTTGGTCGGTGAGGGGGGCCGGAGGGATCGTGGCTGCTGGTGGTGGTGGCGGTGGGTCGGGGATGTTTTCGAGGTGGTGTTGTTGCGCGGTTGGCGGTCGGTCGATGATGCTTTGGGGTCGGGAGGTTGGGAGGTGGTTGTGGTTGGCTGAGATGCGGCGGATGGATTGTTTGGATGGGGAAGAGGAGAGTGGGGACGGGGTGGTGTGTTTTGGTAGAGACATTTTTGGTGGGAGATGGAATTAGGGTGAGGAGGGAAGGAAGGGTGAGGCTACATCATGGTTGTGGTGTATGTTCGAGGGTGACTCGGGATAGCTCAGGGTCGTATTGAAGTGAGTATCGATCCGATCTGGGGAAATTGGCTGCGATCGAACGATTGGCTGGGTTGCGCTCTTATCGATAAGGCAGGATAAGTCCGGTCAGGTGATCCGATCGCCGATTGTAAATACTCGGCGCTGCTTGGGATGATTGCTAGGATGGGGTATATGTACATGAATGAGGAGATGCAGAATTGCATATAACAATGAGTACCTAATGAAACCAGGTAGAATGGAATGGGTATCGTAGTAGCTGAGCCTGTCAACGCCTTCTTCGAATGAACAGCAGATGGTCCTTCATCAGCTATTGTTGTTGTTCTTGTTGTTCTTCTTCGTCATTTTGTTTCCATTCGAATTCTGCACGTAAAGCCTAAGTGCATATTCAGAAAGTGATGCCATGATAGTGACTTACTCTGTCGGCACATGGGACAGAGCCCCTTGGAGGACTCTTGCTGGATCCATGTCATCAAACAGTGCTGGGTTCGGTCAGTAGTGTCTCGCTTGCGCCATGAGGACATTGGGATCCGCAATCGCACCATATGAAAGGAATGGCCGCATTTCCCAAGCACTGGAGTCCCGCATCAGTGAAGTTAGAAGTGTCTCCGATAACGGGCAGGAAGAAGAGATCTCACGTAAAGAGCAATCGTCGCCGGGAAACTTGCAGGTCGGACAGGTACCATCGAACTGGACGCGGCAAATACCACAGACCTCATCGTCGGGCATGTCCCAGCGCCAGGTCGCGACGGCGTTCCACTCTTTGATAGTGACCTTCATGATTAATTTGGGCTTGAGCTTGTACTTGGGCTGGACACCAGACCGAAAGTGAGGACGCAGACGCAAAACTGGGAGGAGGAAGGAGAGTGGAATCGATACTAGGTAAGCGGGATTGTTTACCCGGTTGATTTTCACATGGTCGGCCGCTCTCCGCGTCGGTGATAGGAAAGGAAGTCAACTAACTCATTCTCATTCCAGTCATTCCTCCTCCTCCACTACTCCGCACACACACTCATCATCAACCCCTCTTCATCTCGTTTATCATTTACCCTGCTCTAGCTGGTGGATGAATAATCCCACTTCCTGAGTCCTAACCGGCATGTAAATACCCTCTTGCCTCCACTTCCTTCCTTACCCTCTCAATATGGCTTTCGCAACCCTTCGTAACTCTATCCCTTCACCGACTCGCCTGGTCCGTTCTACCATGTCGTTCTCACAACAAGCGCGCCAGCAACTCCAGAGTCGCCCCTACTCTTTCGCTTCATATCTGGTAACTCCTAAAGAGTTGGACACTGCTTTGAAAAAGAACCCAGCTACAAAGATCTCAACCGCCCCCCGCGTAGTCCCTCTATGCGCCGCCTGGTTCATGCCAAACGACCCCGAGGGTCGCAAAGGTATCGACATTTTCCGCAACCACCGCATCCCCGGAGCTCGTTTCTTCGACCTCGATGCCGTCAAAGATCATGAATCTCCATACCCGCACATGCTTCCCACCGCCGAAACATTCGCCGAAGCCATGAGCGAGCTGGGTATTCGCCGGGACGACGAAGTGGTGGTCTACGACTCCGCGGAGGTCGGTATCTTCAGCGCGCCTCGTGTTGGTTGGACTCTTCGAGTCTTCGGACACCCGCGGGTCCATGTTCTGAACAACTACAAAGTGTGGGCTGCCGAGGGTTTCCCCACGGAGACCGGAGAGCCCCAGCAGCCTGAGAAGACCAACTACCCTGTCCCCACGTACGACTCCAAACTCGTGATCCCGTACCGGGAGCTGAAGGAGATCGCCAAGGAGCACAGAAAGGAAGGTGCGAAAGAAGTGGAGATCCTTGATGCACGGTCCTATGGCCGCTGGGCGGGCACCGACCCTGAACCGCGCCCGGGCTTGTCTTCAGGGCACATCCCGGGCTCTAAGAGCCTTCCGTTCCAGGAGCTGCTGGACCCCGAAACCAAGACATTCCTGCCCGGGCCCGAGCTGCGCAAGATTTTCGAGAGCAAGGACATCGACATGAGTAAGTCGATTATCAGTTCGTGCGGCACCGGTGTAACGGCGACTATCATCGAGACGGCATTGGCTGAGGCGGAATACGGCGAGCCAAACCTTCGGAGGGTTTACGATGGGAGCTGGACGTGAGTTTTGGAACCCTTTCTTCTCTCTTCAATGGCTTATTTGCTGACCGCGGCGATAGTGAATGGGCACAACGTGTTAAGCCCGAAGAGGGTCTGATTAAGAAGACGGTCTAGACAATGCGACTGACGATGGCCCAGCCCGGTGCTTATTATCCAGAGTCTGAGCTATCATTATTGGTATGACATGATGGTTTTTTTCTTTCTCTCAATTGTTCCAGCTTGTTCGAGCGACAGCACATACCAGGAGATTACTCCAATTCGAGTCATAAACTGTACGCAAAGGATGGAATGTCCCGAATAGAAGACTTGTGTGTAATGGTGACCATGAATGATTTCAAGTACGGAGAGTCAGAGCTTAGTGAGTGACTCTTACTAGTCAACTCCCAGTGAGCCTGTCGCAAGACTGAGATCAAATTGCACAAATACTACCCAATTCTCGTAGACAACAAACTGATAGTCACGGGCGGCGCGGAGTTATCCTGCGCTTAGTCAGGATGCCGACGAATCCCGCGGCTTGGAGTTGATCCGCTGCTGAAGGTCCTCTCCTCTCCCTCCTCCTTCTCACTCATCTCATTGCCTCATTATTTCCTCACACAATCGTTTATTCGAATCGCAAAATGCTGCAGATGACCGTTCTTTGTGAATTAGGATTGCATTGTAAGTGAAACTGTCAGCCCTTTCGACGCCCTGCGCAGCCGGGGCCACACACCCCCCCCGGGACGTCCACTACTCTCTCTGGCTGCGAGCCAGGGCCCCCACATTCCCATATTCCTCCGCCTCCATTAATCCTAATCAAACCTCCCTCGCTGGATCCAGCATCACGCTAACCACGCCTGCGGCTCGGTCGCAGTCGTCAAAGCTAGCTATTTGGTTTAGGGCCGTTGTGCCGTGCGAGCATCTTCATTTTTAAGCAACGCGACCTGTTCTGTCGATCGCCGGAGGGCAATTATGACGACCGGACGCAAGGTCTTCCACTGCGCCGTGGATGAGACGGCGTTAACCACCAACATCAGCGAAATCAAAAAATGGACGACCAACGGGGCCATCACTCTGATCGTGCCTCTGTACAGTAAGTCGAGCGGAGTTCATTTACCTTGACGGTTACTGATCTAGTGCTCCTCCTCAGCCCTTGAACGCCTCCATGCACTGAAGAGAGCCGGGTCGCAGGTCGCCATCAATGCCCGCGAGGCTGTCCGGTTCCTCGACCGGGTCACTTCCGGCAAGGACAACATTTCTTCCGAGCGGGTGGCTTTGCAGGGTCCCATGGAGCAGTACGAGAACTGGACGGAGGCAGAGAAGTTCTTCCTGCCCGAGTTCGAGGAGGATCCGGAGGCGAACGATGGACTCGTCTCAAACGGCCCGACGGCGCACCCCGACGAAAAGAGCAAAATATCTAAAAAGAACGGCGCCTCCCCGGACGATCTTTCTCAGATGCTACTCAGCAAGTTGAACTTTAAAAAGGAACTCGACGCAGTCTCGAACACGTCCAACGGAACCCACAGTGCACCCTCCCGCCCGTCTTCCCGGAGCTCTCGGACCAGCCCCGAATGTGCAAACTCGCAGGTGATAACCAACGAAGGAGGATCCAAGGACAACAAGACGAAGCGCGCCGAGGGACATCGCCGTTCTACGTCTGGGTCGGCCATCCCCACGGTCCCGCCTGTGCTCAGGCCGCTGCTCAGCGCGCTGCTGTGGCGACTGCACCAGGGGCCCGATGCTTCGAACGCCGCCAAGACTTGTATTCTGATTACGAACGATCCACAGACCCAGCTTTGGGCCCAGAAATTCGGCATTGGGGTCAAGAACATTCATCAGCTGCGAACATCGATTCAATACGAAGAGCGAGAGTACAAAAACCGATGCAAATATGTCGAGAAGACTCAGGCGACGACCAGCGAACCGAAATCGCTTCTTTCCTACGAGGATGAGAGCGACGAAGACGAGCTCGTCTTCGTTCCTCGCGGCGGGCGGGGCAAGGGAGCGTCGCGCGGCGGCGGCTCCCGTGGGGTCAACAGCCGCAAGGCGCCTGTCGTCAAAAGTGTTGCCCCGCCTGTCGAGGCGACTATGGAGATCCCTACTCAACCTATCGATCCGAATTCGTTTAGTCGTTCTCTTGGTCCCACCAAGCAGCCGCCCACGGTCGACCTTAGCACTCAGTCGGGAGCCGCACGGGGCATCGCGGGTGCGTCTCGGAACCATGCCAACAACCGCCGAGGCGCCTCCCGAGGCCCGACTCGTGGTAGTGGTAACAGCCGGGGCCGTGGAAAACTCTGGGTTCCTTGATCGTATGGGCCGGTTCGTCAATCATACGACGGACGAATCGCACGTTTTCCAATACCGATGAAGACCGACGCGGTTGTTACTTGAAGCAACAAAATTGAGTCCTTCTGCCTTAGCCGGGCTGCCTTTAAGTTCGACCTCTGTCGATTTCGACTTGACTTCATGGATGAGGCGAATGGGTCTTGGACAGGTGGCATGGCATCCGAACTGGTAGACGAGATCTAAGCGCTTAGTCTCGAGAGAGCCTACAACGATGACCGCTCAGGTGGTAAGGGAGCCGTCGGAGAACCGGGCTGCATGTTGGCCCGACTTCCTCTGACGAACGTCTCGAGATTCTGTTGAGGCTCGTAGCTGTCTGGGTCCATCACTTTTGCTTTAGTGGGAGGAGGCGTTTGCTTTCATTTTCCCTCCTAGGACTTTGCTGGTAGGAAGCCCGGAGCAAAAGGATTAAGTCCGGAGGAAGCTAGCTCTTCGACATGTTCTACTCTGCAATTACGAAAACAGATACAGCAGTTGTTCTTCGCTTTACGATCGATTTTGTGGGCATATTTTGGGCTGGTGGAGGGGTTGTGTTGGTGGTGGTGGGATGGGGGAGGGAAGAAGAGCAGGCCAAAAATACTCGGAATATTTATCAAGGTAGCTTGCCAGACAATATGAGTTATTGTGACATCGTATCACATTGTATCATGTTGTATCATGGGGGGCTTGAAGGAGTAGGGAGTATAGCGATCTCTCTCCACATATGACATCGTGCGCCACCAGTTGGCTGGGCTGGGCTAGGCTGGGGTCCCGTGGATCGGCCTGCCACTGGGCCATCACTTGACCTGACCACCAGTACCACCCCATCAATCGCCCTGACAACAACAACCTACTACGTAGCTGCTGGTGATCCTTTGACTTGTTTGAACTGGTGGAAGGGACTAGCTAAACTTATTTATACCTCGGGAGGTCCCTTAGTTCTTGCAGCCGAGTACTCCACCAATTTCTTTAAAGCACTGCAACAAAACAGCACTTGCTTAGTTCTAACCATTCCCATCTATATCATCGGAGAACATACGTCACACCTCACACCATGGACACCAGCGCCAGCGCCATCGACCAGACCCCTCTCTCCGCATCCCCCACCGAGCGCCGTGATTCGCTCGAGAAACACCTCCAGCATCGCCCGGACGTCCAGGACCTGAAAGAACGACACATCCTCCTCGACACCAATGTGGCTCCGTACGTGGCTGGCACCCACCAAGAAACAACAACTCTCACCGTCCCCTCCCGCCCTAACATCCCGTATCAAATAGATCCCTCCAAGCCGCCCACCAGGACCTCGCCCGCCACCGCACGGCCGACGACCTGAAGAAGCACCTCGAGCACCGACCCGACCGCGAGGAACTCGTGGAGCGTGAGTCCCACCCCCTACCCCACAGCCCTCTAGCATGGTGCAATGTATACTCGAACGTGGGATGATATGCTGATGTGTGTGTGTGTGTCGGGAAGGCAACATCCTTCCCTCGTCGACCGCCGCCCCCGCCCTGCAAGCCAACGCCCGGGAGTTGGAGAAGCACATGCTGGCCGATCATTTGGACCAGAAGATCGGGGCCCGGCCGGCGCCGGATGAGCTGATCTCGCAGGGGATCCTGACGGAGGATGAGGATCCGCGGTTCCCGACTGTTTAGTTGGGGGTGTGGTGCGGATGCGGTATGATATGATTGATGCTGGATGGCGTTTGTTGAGTTTAGTTTGTATTTCGCTCGTGTTGAGGTTTGTTGCGGGCGAGGCTGTACTGCTGCAGCAGTAGCAGGTAGTGCTAGTGCTATTATTAAGATTAATTTATTCTTCGTATTGTTCTGTTCATACCCCTACCACTATACACATCACTCCTGTTTTTGTGTCCCAGTAACTCCGACCATAATTCTAATCCTACACCACCACCATCACCCAAGCATCATGTATCATACACCAAAGACAATATCCCCTCAATCAATCAGATAAGAATCCCCCCCGAAATCCGGCCTCCACCCCTTGGGCCGCTCACTCCCGCGCACCAGGATCCCATACGCCGCGCGCTCCACCTTCTCCACAGACCCCTGCATCACCTCGGTCTTGCGGCCGATATCCCGGAACATGGCCCCGGCATGCCGTCGCGGGATACTCAGGAGCTCGATGGCCGACCGCATCGCCCGGAGATCCACGACGATGGCGGTTTGCTCGGGGCGGAGGTGGATTTTCTTGCCGTCCCCGTCCTTCTTGCTGGTAGTACCATGATCTGCACCCTCAATCGTGGCCGTTGACAACCCCGTCACCGCAAACCGCATCACCTCCCCCGTGAGATCGAAAAGCCCCATCAGGTAATCCTCCTCCGTGAGCGGGATGCCGTCCGGCAGGTGAGCCCGCACTTCCGGCATGGTGATGAGGGTCTGGGTGGTCAGGTAGTGGCGGAAGGAGAGCGCTTCGATGAACTCCTGGATCGCGCCGCTGAGTTGGCGCTGGTAGCGGTGGCGGTGCAGGGTGGCGAGGTCGGGGAGGGTGGATTCGAAGAGGCGCGTGATTTGCGTGAAGCGGTGGGTGGTTTCGGTTGCGATGGCGGGGGGGAGGGGGGAGGCTGGGGTGCGGATTCTGGGAGGGTTAGGGTCTGGGTGGTGATTGGGATTGAGGTAAGGGAAGGTAAGGTAAGGAAAGGAAGGTACCGTTGGAGGGAGAAGATTCTGGTGATCGGGTTTAGTGTTAGTTTGTGTTTTGTTTTAGTTGAGAGGGGGATTTGAGGGAAGGGATGGGGAGGAGTGAGTACATCTTCTTGCTGAGAGCTGTGATGTCGCGGCTGGTTTTGATTAGGCGCTCGCGTCGGTCGTGGTGTTCGTCTAGTTCGTTGCGGAAGGTTTCGAACATGCTTTGGATTGAGGCGGGGGCTGGGGCGGCGGAGGTCATGGTTGCGGGTTCGAGGGGTTGGCCGTCCCAGGTGCGTTTTGTGCCGGCCATGGGAGTTGGAGGGGTTTGAGGGGTTGTAAAGGAGAGGGAGGGAGGGGATGGAGAAGGAGGGGATGCAACGCGCTCGCCGTCGATGTCATTTCTGCGGTGTGGGGCCTTGCTGCTTTGGGGTGATTCGGCTTATCTGATAAGATTGCTATCGCTACAGTATACTTTTGTGAACGATAGGAACATTTGGATACTGAACAGAGCCTGTCTTGGAGAGAAACCACACTGGGAAATAGATGGTTGTCGATCTTTTTGAGTTATTCTATTGAGGTAGGGAGGGGGAGCAAAGGAGCCCCCCTTTCACAGGCAGTCGTCACAGGCAGAGTAGGATTGTTCAATTCAAGCTGATCATGTTCAACGAGACATACGATATCATCATCGCACATTAGTGACTTCCTGACTACCTACAGTCAAAAAGTCTCTTGCACAATCATCATCAGTGATCAAGATACTTGTACTTCAGCGAGTCACCCCCCTTCAATCCCCGGACCGTGACAGTCTGATCATCACCGGGTATAATGTCCATCGCGCTGTCGCTGATCTTGACTCCATCCCGCTCTTCAAACACCAAGCATTTCACTGGCTTCTGCGTGCTGATCTTCAACGTCTGCTGCTCAGCTGTCGCAGAGATCTTCTCCACCACAAGCCCCCGTTCCGAGAAATCGAGGTACTTGAACGGCTGAGGCCAGTCCACATCCCTTGCGACAATCTGCCCGTCGACCCACAAGCGGGCAGCCAGCACGTGTGGTTCGGGATACTCCTTATAATCAATCAGACCGTCCACGATAAGGTTGGTGGTGCCATTCGGCTGGATGGTGATGTTCTCGTGGACCACCTTTTCCCTAACCTCCTGACCATCGTTGATGGAGAGGAATCTGAGTTCCACCGTTCCTGTCCTTTCCTCCTGAGCGGAGCTAACAACCCAGAGCTCAAACTTGCTCGTTTTCGGAGGCTGGGCATGCGTAACGCTCCAATCATGGTGTTCGCGTCGGACACCCACAGCCAACGGAGCCAATACGCGTGCCACAGCGTAGAATGCCGGCTTGGGTCGCAGGAAGTAGTCCACAATAGCCCATGAGATAGTCGGCCAGCAATCGTTGAGTTGCCAGAGCAAAGCACCGCCGCAGTGTCTCTCATCGCCCCACTGCCGACGCCACCCTCGATACCCGAACATCATGGTCTCAGCTTGAACGACTTGCGTGAGATAGGTGTAGGTCTGGCTCATTAGCGCGGGTCACCTTGTGTGGCCGTGGGATCTCACCTCCAAGTCTGTAGCTGTCTTTAGGTTCTCCACCAGGTATGTAGCAATACGCCGCTCATGTCCGTCAGCTTTGTTGTGGAAGTCGAGGACGTGCGACTGCGGGTACTTGTCTTTCTCGTGCTCGACGAAGTGGTTGATGGTCGATAGGTGAGGGAATGCCTCCATGCCGAACTCACTGTTGAATCGTCCGCCGAGGGTATCGAAAATCTGGTACTTTTCCTGCGTTCCATGCCAGACTGTACTTGGTCAGCAATTAATGCTACATGTGCGGGAAACGGACATTACCATTCCACTGATGCATGTCGCCTACTGTCGGATCGGACGTTTTCTTGCCATCTCCCCATGGGCTTCCGGGATGATAGAATGTCCGTGGAGAGTGTTTATCCATCACCTCTGGAAGCAGTTTCTCGTATATGTACCGAGCTGGAAAGTCCGTCTTCAGCCAATTCTCGGGGTTCTTGTCCTCGAAGTCATAGGTCAGACCTGCCGACTCTTGTACTTGGTAGTCCTCGTTATTTCCAGCATAAAGCACAATAGACGGATGATGTCGCAGCCGGCGCACATTATAGGCGGCTTCTTTTTCGATCGACTCAAGCAGCTCGGGCCAGGTCGGGTAGTTGCCACAGCCGAACATGAAGTCCTGCCATACAAGCACACCAAGTTCGTCGCATGCTTCGTAGAAGTTGTTGTCTTCGTAGATACCGCCGCCCCAAACCCTGTTGCTGTAAGCAAAACTGAAATGTATCCGCATGGGCCAACCTACCGAATCATAACTTGGCGACCAGCGACCATAAGTTCAATCCAGCTCCGATAGCGCTCACGGGTAATGCTGGGCAAGAGGTTGTCTGCGGGGATCCAGCACGAGCCACCACAAAAGACGTCGACTCCGTTGATTCGGAAGAAGAACGACTTGCCGTGCTTGTCTGGCCGCTGAACGACCTCTGCCGTTCTTATGCCAATCTTTTTCGAGACATGATGCAGTTCAATCTGATCCTTCTCCAAGAAAACAGAGACCGCGTACAGATTTGGGTCTCCGTAACCATTTGGCCACCAGAGGCTTGGTTGATCGATTTCGAATGTCACTTTGGCGACCTTGTTGTCGGGCGTGGTGACCTGCCGAGCAATCTCCTTACCATCTTTATTCAAGGTGAAGATGGCTCGAAAGGAAGAGTTCTCTGTGGCATCAATATCGGCGTAGGCATCAACCTGCGCATGCCGGTGATCCGCAGCAAGATCTACGTCCGTCCAGAGGTCCGCGATTCTTGCCGAGTAAACTTCCAGCCGAACGTCTCGCCAGATGCCCGCAGTCATCAGCACTGGGCCCCAGTCCCAGCCCCAGTGATACTGAGCCTTACGAACGGCTAGTCGGGCCGGATCGCCGTTGAAGGAAGCCCAGTTGTGCTTGGGGTCCTGCTCTCGGAGCTCCTTGGCTCGCAGCATGGCACAATCAAAGTCGATGAGAAGCACATGATCACCCTCAGCCTCCAGGGCTTCGGTGACGTCAACGCGATGAGCTAGGAACATGTTGTTGCTCTCGAGAATGATCTTGTCGTCCAGTCTCACCGTAGCAAAAGTATCCAAGCCGTCGAACGCCAGAACGACCCTGGATCCAGCAGGGACGGTCGGCTTCTGGAATACATGTCTGTAAGACCATGACTTCGCATTGACCCATCTTGCCTCGAGCTCATTGAAGCCAATGTAAGGGTCTTGCAATCTGTGTGCTCCGCGTTAATACCATGCCAAGAGTCCAGAGGCTGATGATGGGCACACCTTCCATTTGCCTGTAAGTCCTGATGAACGACAGACGGCACGCTAGAAACGGACATCCAAGCATCAGATGCCTGTTCGTCGCTATCCTTGAAGGACCAGCCGGTGGTCAGAGGATGCTGAATGAAACTCGCCATATTGGAAGCCAAGGAGGGGTAATGACGAGTCAATGGCAACAATGCGTGAAAGCTCAACAAGTGGGAACCGATCGATGGCCCTGTGAATGCTTTTTGGCAACGAAGGGGAGATTCACACTCTTTGTATCTTGAATCTGATATCTAATGGTTTCAGATGCCATGAGGGAAGTATAGAGCAAGGGAAGAGCTCCACGGAGATATCTCCGCATTCCACGTGCTGTCATTGCCTAATCGGGCAATCGACGGGCGGCTTCTCCTCCTTTCCCAAAACAGTCTTCCTCTTCCACTCAGTGAGTGCTGCCAGTGACTCGGGAGTCCCCAAGTCCTACACTTTCGCACTCAACATCCTGAACTGTCTCACCATCTCCCGTCAGTCTTTGAGTTTCAACACGGCTCATCGTCAAAATGTCTCAAATGAGCCAAGTGATGGGACAATGAAGTGATCAGACAAAGAATATCCTGAGCGCTGTCCGAGTCAGTGCAAAGACACGACCGACAAGAAATCCCTCCCGTCTTGGGAGGCATATAAAGTGACTATTCTCTGTATCTCGAACCATGCTCCTCTCACTGAAACCAATCCTCGACATTCCTCCCCCCTACTTTACTGCTTTAGGTGCGGATGATGCTCCACGCAGCTGTGGTTGGTCTCCCGTCTGATCAAATCCTTCCTTGTGCTTGGAGATTCTTGTTCCTGACAGCCCTGAAGATCACTAGTTAAACTGAACGTAAATCCTCTGATCGGTGCTGAATCACTCTCGACCACCTTAAACCTGGATTCGAAGCGAACTTGTACCCTCACCCCACTGCCATATAAGCGATTCTCTCTGCCAGAATCTCATTGGTTGGTACGCCAGTCACTAGTCCGACCATTGTCGCTTAGCGAAACGAACGACATTTCCAGCAGCTTATTGCAGGACCATGGGGTGTCAACACTCTCAACACTCAACAGCCGGGGCAAGTGCCTCGGTTCTCACTGTGCTTCCGCCCTTCCCGCCTCCCGTTGCTTCCACAGTCATGCCGGGGTACCTTACAGGAAATGGAGACAGGTTCCTCCTTGGAGCGCTAACCATTCGATGCGGCATGTGATGAGTGAGCAATTTCGCGCTCTTGGCGTTCATCGCAATTAGCCTGATCACTTTTGCCTAACCAATGCGGGCCACTCTGCGTCGAGTCTATTTTGCGATTGGCTGTCGTCCTCGAGTACCCCAGAATCCGTGTCAAATCACACGCACCTCTGTCCAGAAGCGTCCTAAGTGGTGTGAAGCCGCTTATTCTATCAACCGGCATCAAACTCGCTTGGAGCAACCAGATGGGCCAGGAAATGCTCTGAACTGGGACCAAAGTCTATCACCGCTTTTGCCACTCATGAATGCAAAGCTCTAAGATGGAGCCGGGAGCCCACGGACCAGTTGACTTACGGGATTGGACATAGGCGACGGACTCTAAGCGGCGGTGCGCCAACAGACTCCGACCCCGTCATGGGGTTTAATTAAAATAGGGTGTCCAAGCCGGTCATCCTATGCGGGGTCAGAGCTGCAATTGGCGGGGACAGATTTCCCAAAGAGTCAGACCCTGCGAAGGTGCTGGAATGAGAAATTTCTTGAACCCTGCTATTATCGCCTGCGCCGTCGCGACAGGAAAAACCCCGTCAGATTCTGACAATGGACTCAGGAGCAGTAAGCTCGAGCAGCACGGATGAACGGAGGCTGTTGAATCGGGTATACACCAACCACTTCCGATGGAAATCGCAGTCAGACGCAGTTGGTCTTTCTGCCTATTTGTGGTTGTTGCTCGGACATCGAGTGGCGCCACCCCTGTTGGTTTAATATATTGATGTGCTCCGGTCTTCATCAGCCTGCAGAACTGTAACGGGGTTGGCTGCCCGCTAGGCGAGTAATGATTGTTTGTCCGGCTCGGGGTTGAGTACCGTGGAAGGACTGTCAGCCCTGACGTGGGTAGATGCGGGTGCCCCCAAGAACGTGGGCGAATTCGTGCGTCGAACGCTTACTGTGGTAGAGCCCGCGATGTTTGCGCACACAGGGCTGTTCCTCAGGTGACCTGGAGAAGGACCACAGCAACCCACCTTCGAGTTGATGTGTTTTCCTTTCGGAACTGGAAGGACTTCTCACGGAAGGAATTCGGGGGCTCATCCATCACCCCCTGATAGGTGGAAGCACATGGCCCAACATCGAGCAGAGTGCATCGTAGAGAGGGGAAAGCGCTAACAGGAGACAGATCCAAGGCACCGTGAAGAACAGACCCTTTGGGGCGAGAGTTGGCGAGCCTGTAGTGGGATTGAATACATATTGGTCGTATGTAACCCTGGCAGCCGAGCCTTTGATATAGGGTCAAGCATGGCCGGTGGACGAAGGGTCCGGGGTTTATGACTGGAGTAGCCAGTCAGAACCCACGATGCATGGGATGCCGATTCTTCCCCAGACATGCAGAAGCCTGACAGAAACGGCCACTTCCTGCATGATGGATTTAATCAAAGTGGAAAATTGCGGGGGCGTCGCCAGAGCCGGACCAGTGAAGAAAAGAAATCCCGAAGGACGATCGCTTTTCAGGGACTGTGTTGGGCAGGCACTGTGGTGGAGGGAGGGCGTCGTCGGTTCTTGGAGGAGGAGAAGAAGGAAGAGGAGAAGGAGGTGGTGGAAAATGGAAAATGTCGCTTGATGCTTTCTCGGGGGCTGATGATCGCTGTTCTCCGGCTGCTAAAATATACGCCTCGTGGTCCGACTCACCTTGCCTGCCCTTGAAGATATATTGCAACACGTTTTTCTTTTACTGTCGATTTTCCCCGCCGACCTTTTTCAATCCAAGACAGTGGCGACTGCAAGTGAACTAGGCTATTTTCCATGCAGTAATTCACTGGGGCCATCCCCATCGATGATCTGATTTCCACACCCTCCTACTGCCACTCATCACTAGCAGCAAACAGGCTATCCCTGCCATCTGTTGCATCGAAACTTGCTAGTCTTTCTGCGACCGGTTGCCAATGGCTGTTTCTAGCTGACCACGCTACCATAGAATGCCTTGATCGTACTATCGTACTATCAGTCTATCAGTCTATCAGTCTACCTGTCTATCAGGTCTTCCACCAAGAATCTCTAATCTTATCGTCGCTAGCCATGTTCCACACGTTTGAAGGCTTCGAGAACCCCGGACTGTCGAATCCGACCCGGGGGCGCAATCAGCGTCAACCCTCCGTTGGCCGTCGAGTCACCACCCTTCGGGCTTGCACGTCTTGCCGGCATCGCAAGATCAAATGTGATGGCGAAAAACCATGCGAAGCATGCAGGTGGTACAAGAAGGCCGATCAGTGCCAGTATTCCGACCCTCGTCCGTCGCGCAGGTGTGTTTTGACTTTCTTGTCTGGAAGACCACAGAACACAAAATAACCAGCAGAGTTGCGGATGCAGACACGTGGAGAAACTGTCGACTACATTGGACGAGTTCCGCGGGGTGCTCGAGAAGCTGTTCCCCGGATTCCCAGCTGAGACCCTGGTGAACTTGCCACGCGAGAAACTACTAGACTTGGTGGGTAAGGGTCCATCGCATGTGCAGACGCAGCCGCCACATCCAGCCTCCCCGGCCACTTCTGCATCGGCCGAGGCCCACACATCCCCGGCTTCCAGTGAGGATGGCAATCTCGAGTCCCTCCAGACCATCCCCGACCACACCAGCCCTCTACGCCCGCTGAGAACCCCAGCGTTTCCGAGTGGCATCTCGGATGATGTCAATGCCTTGTCCCTGTCGGCTCAGCAGCCATCCTCATACTTAGGTGTGTCTTCAATACATGCGGTGCTCAAGGTCATCGTATGGTTGGACCCTGGATCCCTCACCCACCTTTCACGCACTCCAGCCCATGGTGGTCGGAGAGGATCCATTGACCTCTCTTCTTCTCCAGGCAGCCAGCACTGGCCGGTCCATGGGTTCCAGCCGCGCCTCGCGACGCCCGAGTCCCGACGAGCGTCGGAATCCCAATTGCTGGACGCTTACTTTACTTACGTTCAACCCTTTGTGCCATTGTTGGATGAACCGGCCTTCCGCGAAACCTACCACAGTGGGAGGCGGAGCGATGAACAGTGGCTGGCTTTGCTGAACATTGTCCTTGCCCTGGGCAGCATAGCAGCCTGTCCGGCGCACGACACGTCGCATCAGACTTACTTTCTGAAGTGTAAGGAGCTCGTCAATCTGGAGTGTCTGGGCTCTTCGCAGTTGGAGACCATCCAGACCCTGGGTCTCATGGGGGGCTATTATCTGCATTACACGAGCCAGCCCAACCTAGCATATGCGATCATGGGGGCCGCCTTGCGGATGGCAGCGGCACTGGGCCTCCACAAAGAGCTCTCCGACAGCCAGACTGGGGGGAGCCGACAAAGACAATCGTCCACCGACCAGAAGCGCCGCGTGTGGTGGTCGCTGTTTTGTCTGGATACGTGGGGGGGGATGACCCTCGGGCGACCCAGCATGGGCCGTCTGGGGCCGACCATCACTGTCAAGCTGCCACATTATCGCGAAAAGGTACGGTTGGTCCTATTCCAAAGACATGCAGGATAAATACTGACAGTTGCAAGGGAAATGTACTGGATATTCTACCCCTCCTGGAGAACGTGCGCTTCTGCAAGATCGCCACTCAGATCCAAGAAGTGCTGGCGGCGTCGCCGCTGACCAAGTTCCATGAGATGACGCAGCTGGACAGCCAGCTGCTGGAATGGTACGAGAACCTTCCCTATATCCTCAAAGACCACGAGCCGTGCTCCGAAGCCATCGCGTTCACGCGGACGGTGATGAAGTGGCGGTACTACAACCAGCGCATGCTCCTGTACCGGCCGACCCTCCTCAGCTATGCGATGCGGCGGGTTCCGTACATTGTGCTCCGCTCCGAGGAGCGGCTGGCGATCGAGCGGTGTCGCGAGATCGCCGAGATGACGATCCAGGACATCGCGACCAAGGCGCAGGACCATCAGATGTCCGGGTGGAACGCGGTCTGGCTGATCTTCCAGGCGGCCATGGTTCCGCTGCTGGGCCTGTTCCTGAACGACGGCACGGTGGACGACCCCCGCGCGACCGTGGAGGCCTGCCAGGCGCAGGTGGAGACGACCATGCTCGTGCTGGCGCGGCTGCAGTCGTGGAGCCCCACGGCGAAGTCGACGTTGGACGCGGTGTCGCGCCTGTTCGAGGCCAGCAAGCGCAACTCGGCCTTGCTCAGTGCCGCCAGCAGCATCGACAGCGGCAGCTGTTCGAACCTCTGCGACGGAGGAGGGGGGATGCCCGGGGCGGCGGCGGCGGCGGCCGGCGCCGGGGGACTGCTACCGCCGGGGGTCCTGGTGAGTCTGGAGAATGGGTTTTTGGATCCGTTCGACCCGCCGTTCATCGACGACTCGGCCGGGCAATACTTATGGGATTTTCTGAGTTGGAGCGACAGCAGCCTGCTGCAGGGGTTTGCGGAGATCGACAATGGGGGTGGTAGTTTTGGGGTGCTTGCTGGCCCCGGCCCCGAGGAGAGACATGTGAAGTACGGTGGAGACCCGATTCTGCTGGGCGGACAGCTGAACGACTCGACCTTCTTTGTGAATCCGGCCGCCCCATTCTACTAAGCTGGTAGTTCTTTCGTTCTGTGATGTTACATACCCTTTTTTTTTTTTGGTTGCATGTGGTCTAGTCTGGTTTGCTACGTTTCGTTGGGCTATTGAGCGCTATCGGGTAAATGTATAGGTGTATGCATGATGAATATGAAATGAACGATATGATTGACACTTCAAGATTAACCTGGAGGTGAATTTAGGGAAAGGCTGAGGTCGGGAATTCGGCCCTGCACACCAGACTGTACACCAGACTGGACACCAAACTGGAGCCACTGGGTCAGACACGCAGGAGGGAAATGCTTGATTGTGTGCAGAACAGCGAACAGTGCGCCTTAGGCTGACTGAAGGCTGGAAGTCAACTGGCGGGAGTCGGGCCGAGACCCGCCGGTGGGCAAACGCGGGTTGATTTGATTTGTTTGTTTGACCGGGTTATCCTCCATCATCACTTTTTGGGCACGGCATTGACAGCCTGGAGTGAACTCCACGTTACGTACTACGGGTAGGGTCCAGTAGTTGCCCAGTGGATTGCGCTGAGCTTCCAAGAAAGAATTGTACGGAGTACCGTTTAGTATACACCCAAACCACTGCACGGCCAGCCAGCCAGCCAACCACAACCGGAACAGAACCACCTGTTCTCCAAGCTGCCCCTAACTAACCAGGCCTGGCCAAGAACGAACATCCAGCTTCACCACGGCACTACACACTACATGTCCACATGATACCACACCCACAATGTCCACCCCAATAACCCCTTCTTCCTCTTCCCATCCCAAACCCTCCC